AAAACATGGAACATGTATAATTTTTTTTTTTTAACATTTCCATTGCAGTATTTATCATTGTTACTGGTTGTGTGTAGTGTAACAGAATTAATGATAAAGCATACAATACATATGAAAACCAGCCTGCCAGCCTTTATCACTGGAGCAAACTGGGCTGAGAGGGTACGAACTGCACCATCTCCGGCGGGTTTGGAGCAGTGCCGTATGGCACAGGTAACCCCGCTGGGGCCGGTCAGCCCCCAGCCAGCATCTGGGAAACCCTTCTTCCCAAGGCAGCGGGAAGGCGCACGGGCTGGGCCCAGCCCCTGCATCTGAGCTGCGACAGAAGCAGAAAGAAGTGGTGCATTTATACGACACCGATGGGTGAAATAACCTTTTCTCCAGCATTGCAGCCATTTCTGCCCCTCGAAGCTGTTGGCACAAGAGCCAAGCACGGTTTTTAAAGTCCAGTGCCAGCAGCTTGAAACCCCAGGGACCGCTGGGGACAGGGGACAGCCATGGGGGGGCCAGTGGCTCATACTGGCAGCCCTTCCAGTGCAGGATTAGTCCCCCTCCAACCAAGAGGCTTGGATTACACCTGTGCAGAGCAGTGCTCCCCAGATCTGTGCCCTGGGGTCCTCCAAGGCCACAGAGCTGAGGCAGGGGGGTAGGCACCCCCATGTCCACCTTTCCTTCCCTGGCTCCCAGCAGGGGATGGGACTGGTGGAGAGCCTTAGCCTGGCCCAAGAGAGACCACTGGGGTGTGAAAATCAACGGCAGCTTGTTTTCTTAGTTTCGTTTCTAACAGCACATTAATCATGTTTGCCTGGAGGCATTCAGGTGTCCCGGGCTGCCCAGCCCCACCATCGCCCACAGGAAACAGAGCAGGGCTCTGCAGCCCTTTGGGGGATAGGATGGCATCCACCCTGCCAAGACGGACATGGGTCTTCACCAGTCATCTCCAAAAATGTGGCAGCAGAGGGGCTGGAGCCAGGAGCAGAGCAGGGCTTTGAGCTGGCACTGTGTGACAAGCCAGGCCAGAGCGGGGTTTCTGCAGGGGCAGGGATTTCTGCTCGACTCCCCATCTCCGGGAAAAGCAAACCCAGTTCATGCAAATCCCTCTCTGGCATAACCCAGTTGCCTCTCTGCACTGAGATGGATGAGGATCGCTTACTCTGACTGCAGAGCCCATCACTCAGGGAAGCCGCACAGGATCACCTAAATCCAGCTTTTTAATGAAAAAGGGGAGACAGAGCAGGCGATGATTGCCCTGGCTACCACAGGAGGCTGGGACAGCGGTGCCTGGTGCTGCTCCCTGGGCAGTGGTTGCACTAGTGTGGTGCTGTGTGCGCACAGCTGGGTTGCTGCAGGATTTCCAAGGAAATATGGGAGAGGGGGGCTGGAAAAGCCACAATCACAGCTCCTGCACCTCCCAAAATAAAATTATCTTGACTACAACCAGCTGAAACTGTTTCCTACCATCGTTAAGGTAATGGCCTGCAGGAGGGGAGGAAGCCTGGAGCCAGGACAAAGCCAGGAGGGTGCAGCCCACGGAGGGATGCAGACAGCAATTGCTGTGCCCTAGCCTAGAACCAGAGCATAGCTATGGGACTGACAGAAAGACACCAAATTCCCCTGCTCCCCCACTATGACATCACTGATGACATAAGAATCATCCTGGGCTGGCAGAGCAGTGGCACCAGCCCTGTTCCCTCTCCTGCATGGGCTGCAAGCCCCCAGCCCCACGCAGTGCTGCTCATCCAGTGGGGCAGCGCCAGGACCCTCTGGGACTCCGAGCGCTCCCGTCCCGGCAGGCTGCTGCACCATGTTCCTCGTCTCCAAAAAACACAAGACCCCCATCAGCACTTACACCGACTCTTACCGCCCACCATGCTCTGTCAAAAAGACCATCAAAGAGAAGCAGCCACAGCAGCCCTGGAAAGAAAACAAGTTTGTGACACAGGTAAATGCCATGGGAGGAGGAAACCTCAGGGTTTCTACCTCTACCCAGCTGCGGATGCTCGGTGCCGGGCGGGGGGGTGGCACGGGCACTCACAGGGTGCTTTGCTGCATGTGTGTCATGGGGAGGCCGTGCTCCCTGGTTAGGAAAGCATTTGACACCCCACAGCCTGGGCTCGCTGGCTTCTTGTCCCCTGGAGCTGCACCCCGCAGGGGCTTTGGGCTCTTGGGGCTGGTGGCCACGAGCACAAGCTCTCACACATCAGCCCCGTCCATCAGCAGGTTTCAGAGTACGCAGGGGGCAGGATCTGCTGAGGACGGGGAAACTGAGGCAGAGGCAGGGCTCAGCCCAGGGCTGCTGTGCGACACGGTGGCGATGGCGGGGCAAATGGGTGGCTCTGAGAGCTGCTCCAACACGCAGTCCCCAGGATCAGCTCAGTTCTGACGGGGGGGGCCTTCCATGCCAGGGGGACCATGCAAAGGGCCAGGGGGAGATACGAGCACCGAAAAACTCTTCCCAGCCCTGGTCCTGGAGGAGGAGAGATCCCTGCACCGTGGCCTCACTGCGGGGGGTGTCCGTGGGACATGCAGCTTTCCCCACACAGGCTAACAAGTGTGCAGGCTCCGATGCAAAGCATGCTGCGAACCGGCTCGTCTCTTGCAGCCTCGTTAGCATGTGCATTGTAATGAGAGAGCCAGCAGAGGGCATGGAGAGGGATGTCACCGCTGTGCAGGGAAATGGCTCATGCAACCAGGCCATGCATCTGCCCCCCAAGGCCCCAGCCCTCCTGGGCTTTGCCAGCTGTAGGACATTGGTTTGGTCATGTAACTCCCTTCCCAACCTCTGCTGGCCCCATACCTGGCAGTCCCAGTGCATCCACCCCATCTCCCCCTCTGCAAAGTGCCTGGATGCCTACGGACACCCTGGGTGCAGGGTGAGAGGAGCCAGTGATGCCTAGCCATCCTCTGTCCCCCAGTTTCAGGTGAGTGGGAAGCTTGAGGAGGGAGGGTGCAGTGCTGCTAGGACCCCCATGCCCACCCACTGTGCTGGGAGGCTTGATGCTCGGATCTCCAGCTGCATCTCCAGCATTAGACCGTGCCTGGTAATCGGCTTCACCACGTGCCCCGACGGCCGTGAAGACAGATGCTGCCACATGGCCTGGTATCTCTCTCCACTACCCACTGTCTGTAGGGATTAACGATGCCCCCAGTGCAAAATCCATCGAGCCAAGGTCAGTCCGAGCAGCTGATTAAGGCAGCAATGCAGGAGTACTACAGGAACACCATCGACCCCGGAGCCTACTGGCCTGAGAAGTACTGGCTGGCCAGGTCCGAAGGTACTGCCATGGTCCCAGCTGTTCCCCTGTGTCACACAGGGCACATCCCTTTGGGTCAGGGTCTGAGGGTGCCAGAAGTGGCTCTGTTCATCCCCCCTTTTGCATCTGGCGTCCCTCTCACACTGGGGAAGGGACCCTCCATCAGCATCTATGCTTGTGGCTTTGCCACAGCCACCCATCCCCATCCCTGCAGTGAGACTGTCCCTGTCCCAGGGATGTCTGCAGGTCCCCGGGATGTCTGCAGGTCCCCAGGGTTCTCTCCTCTGGTGGCCCCTAAATACTGACTGGTGGTAGGTGCTGCCTGGGGGACACCCTCCTGGCACCCCATAGCCCCCAGGGACCAAGGTTGTGTGGGCTGGGACGATTGACCAACGAGCTGGAAGTGGTGGGTGTCACCTCCATCACAGATCCTTAACAAGGACCCCGGGAGCAGCATCTCTGACATGCCCCCTGGCCCCGTGGCATTGTGTTTCGGGGAGAGGGGGAACAGTCGGGACTCTCCGTCCATCCCCCCACATCTCCAGCACCACAGGACACCCCTGCCTGTTGCTTTTACATTGCAGAGAAGTACAACCCAGTTTTTGTCAACGAGGACAAATACCTCACCTGGAGAACAGGTCCCTACAACAGCGCAGCCTGGAATAAGCACTCCTCTTACCTCCCCCTCCTGCCCAAGGTAGAGTCCAGCCCCCCTGGCCCTCCCAAACTGGAGCTGCCTCAAGTGCCACCAGCACCTTGGCCTCTGCAGCAAAAGGGTGGCAATCCTGCAAGGGCTGCCGTTGCTCTTTGCAGGAGACACGGATGGATACCTTCCTGCAAAGCATACCCATGCCATACCTCCCGAAATCCACCTGCCTCAACCAATTTGGTAACTACCCTCACCCTGTGCCTGTACTCCAGCTGTAGCTGTGCCTGTGCCATGCTGGCATCCATCTGGGTGATGGGCTGGCTGCTCCTCCTCATCCTTACCCTCGCCATCCCTCCACTTGCAGAGAGGGAGGTGGTCACCAACATGCTGCACAGGCTGCCCGTGTACACCGTGACGGGGAGGCAACCCTTCCAGGGCTACTACAGCCCCTGCTCTGGGCGCCACTACTGCCTGCGAGGGATGGACTACTACGTTGATAGGACCACTGCCATCAGAAGGCATCTCCACGCACTAGGAGAGAGGGCTGTAAGGTTGGGATGGGATGGGATGGGATGGACATGACCTCCCTTGTCCTTGGGGCCGTTGCTCACCCTACCTCCTCTGTCTCTTGCAGGAGTATCCCATGCTGCAGTTACAGCCCCAGAGCCATGTTGTGTACATCTACACATCACCTCCAGCGATCCTCCACGTACAGGAGCCCTAGGTGCCGACAGGTTCAGTGGGGGGACCGCTCCAAGCTGGTTGCCCTGGGTGAAAAGCCTATTATTTTTTCCTAATACGAGCCAGCCACTAGCTCTCCTTTCATTATGGTTTCATGCAAAATTGCTCAGAGGGTTATTCTGGGGACGATGGTGCAGACTGCAGACCCTGAGAGGTAGCGGGTCCCATCGTGGTGCCCATGCAGGCAGCAATGCAGCCACTGCACCTCCATCTCACAGGCTAAGTGGACATGACCAAGGAGGGCAGGACACTGTTCAGGTGCTGGACGTGTTGTTGCTACCAGTGGAGAAGCAGTTGCCAAATTTACTCCCAGGACAAGTGTTTCTATGCTCGGTCTCATTCAGCGGTCCTTGGGACTGTACAGCACCTGAAATCTTGCTGGTACCCTGAGCCTCCCTGCATGTAGCTTAGCAACTCCCAGATTTTGGGACCACATCAGTGTTTCTTGTGCTGCTCTTGTATTTTCTGTTGTCACTGTTTGCTCTTCTTATCCAAGAACCTGTTCCCTGGTCACGCTGTTCGTTATGCGATAATCAGCCCTGTCCTTCACCGACTGCAGGTGTGGCAGCACCTTTTAATCCCCACATGTTTACCTTTAGGATGTCTCCATTGCTGAGGCAGCTTTTTTCAGCCCTGGGGAAGCAGCAAGGGGAGAGGGGAGGCTGTTCAACCAGCTTAGTCATCACTCTGCTACTGCATCAGCCCCCCACGGGCCGAAATTAGGCATCAGGCTTTGCAGAAAACCTGTGATTGGCTTTAAATTCCTGAGCCCAGAAACTAAAACCAAGCAACAATGAGAACAAATAGGGAGCACTGGGTTCCCCATAGATGTCCCTATGCCTGAGCCTCGGTAAGATGTTTCTCAAGATCTTCTCCACGGAGAAACAGGCAGATTTTCCTGGACTGGCATGGCTCTGGGAATGAAGGTTTTAGGAAAATGGCAGTGCAAGAGAGAGTGGGTGTTTGCAGGGTGGGAGATCTGCTGGAAGCAGCTTGCTGAGGTAGCAATGCCAGGGAGCTTCAGCCTTTCTGCCTGGGCTTCGCTTTGGCCTCAGTGCCCAAAGGCACACACCAAAGTGGTGGGGACAGCTGCGTGTCTACTGCTCACCCCTAAAGAATGCTGGCAGGCAGAAGCAGGTTTTCTGCTCTTCTTCCTCACCAGAGTTTTGTCCTCCCATGGCTGATAACTTTTTCTGCTCTCCTAGGTGGGACACGAGCCACTTTGCGAAGACAGGAGGAGTCCAGAGAGGCAGCTACACCATCCACCCTGAGTTTATCTCAGAGGCTTACTCTGCCCCATCCTGGTGAAGAGCAGCAAAGATGGGCTTTCATTAAAAGTGGCTTGCGAAGACAGGAGGAGTCCAGAGAGGCAGCTACACCATCCACCCTGAGTTTATCTCAGAGGCTTACTCTGCCCCATCCTGTTGGTGAAGAGCAAAGATGGGCTTTCATTAAAAGTGGCTTGGGCAACCGTTCCCCTCAGACCCTTTCCTACAGGCTGGGGAAGTTCCCAGGGAGGGGGGAGAGACTTCAGCGACTGCTGGCTTGGTGGGCACTTTAACAGCCCCCAGGGGCTGGTACCCTGCTGCCACTCGCAAGCTGGAGCCCAAGAAAGCACAGAAGGAAAAGCTCTCAAAGCATAGTAACACAGCCAGAAATAGAAGCAGTCGTTGACACCCGTGTTTGTCAGCTTTGTGCTGGGCTGCTTAGGACGTGCTTGCTTTTGCCAAGTTGTCCAGGAAGAGCCGCCATCCATCTGGGATACCGAGCACGGACACGGGCTAAATAAGGAGGGGGATTTGAAAGCAGCACGTAATTAATGGAGGCATGAAATGCCCTTCTCTGACCATGATCTGGGAACCCAGTGTCAGTGTGGAACACCACCCGGCACCTTCCATGTGTGCTGCAGATCATACACCCTCGGTGCTCTGTTCCCCACAGGAGGGATGCTCCAGCACAGACCCATCTGCAGCTCCACGTTTATGTGGGGCAGCACCACCGCTGTGCCGTGCCCACACCAAGCAGCACCCTAACCCTGCTTGCGGCAGGGAAAAACCCATGAAAACCCCATCCCGGCCCAAAAGCATCCCGGCACGGCCCCCCCCAGTGCCAAACCCCAAGTGCCCCCAGCAGAGCC